CCCCCCGTCACCCCCGCTTCCCACGGGTTTTTAGCGTCCGGTCGTCCTGTTGTGCACCGGCCCAGCACCCCAGACTGTCGCCCACTCCCCTTCTCCTCTCCCAGCTCACCAGCACCAGTCACTGTCTCTTTTCTCTGTGATTTCTGTAAAAGTTGCCATAAAACTTGGAAATTCTGCCTGGGAAACGGCCTTCCGGTGAGAAGTTGGGAGGCAGGAGGAGGGAGCGAATGAGGACTTTGGGGTTTCCGCAGCTGTGAAGTAGGCCAGGAAATCTGGGGTGTTTTTTTTTCCAGGCCCCCCACCCTCTGCAGGACACACCCACATGCAACCAGCCACCCAGAAGGTCCACACAGCTTCCCCCCGCCCCCCAGCCACGCCCTCACTCCTGGCCCGGAGCTTCCCTAGCCACGCCCCTAATCCATCAGCAACAAAATATTCCTCTACACAGGGCATCCTGGGAACTCAGATTTGCCTGAGCAGGAGCTGGGGTTGATGGGGGGGGGGGGTCCCCGAATAAAGCAAGTCACTTTCTCAGAATGCCGGAATAGGGGGGAAGACTTGTGAATCCCTAGCCTTTTCGAGCCAGTGGTTAGCATGAACGGAGTATGCGGGCGCGGGGAGTGCAGAGAGCTCGAAAGGACCAATGATAAGAGACCCTCTCGGCCACGCTGAGGAGCTCGGAGTTTGTCCTCAGAGCAAAGGGGAGCTTTGGAAGGGACTTCATGGGGGTGGAGTGGGGCAGGCCATGGATATCCGATTTACGTTTTCAGACGTTCCTTCTGGCTACCTGTGAGAACGGAGGCCGGGGGGTCCGGGAGGGGCCTGGGGCAGCAGAGGAGGGGGTCCCGGAGTCGGGTGGTGGGGAGGAAGGTGGGGAGAAGGGGGTGGTTGAGAGGGAGAATGCATCGGGGCCCCGGCGGGAAAGAGACGGTGCGCTCAGACTAGCCAGGGAGAGTTTATGGAAGGGATGGTAAGTGGACATAAGAGGGACGGCGCAGTACCCGGGGCGGCCAGTAGAGGGAGCCGTGGCCACCCTGAGCTCCGGCGTGTGCGCTGAGTCCCCTGAACCGCCGAGGCTGTGGCTGTGGCTCCAGAGGAGCGCAGACCCCGCCGACCCACGCCCAGGAGAGAAGGGGGACAGAGAGTGAACACCCCAACTTACTCCTCCCGCCCACCAGTCTCCTGCTGGAGCCCCTTCCCCCGCACGGCCCCATTGGCTCAACTCCAGCAGAAGCCGGAGGTCAGAGCGGGAATGGCCTCAGCTTCTGGGCGCAGAGAGGAGGGGCGATGGGAGTTTTCAGAGTGAGGTCTTTTCTGGGCCGGGAGCAACGAGGAAGGGCTGAGGTCAGGGGACAGGGACACGCTTTGGGGGGCGGGGGGTGAGTAAGGGCTCAGGGGGAGAGGTAGGAAGAACAGGCGTGGAGAAGGCGCTGGGTTGAGGGGGGTGCGTGCTGAGGGCGAGGTGCCTGTGGGGCGTCCAGAGACGCCAGGGAGGGGACGCCTGGAGGGAGATTTGCCATTTGTTGACCACGAGGTGTCACCAAGCCTCGGGAGGGGGAGGGCTGCCCAGGGAGAGGGTGCGGAGTGAGAAGGGGCGCGGGCAGTGCCTTGAGGGGCTCCGACCTCCAAGGGGCACATGGAAGACGGGAGAGCTGCCCACGGAGAGGGACCCGCCAGGAGAGGTAGGTGGTGACCTGGGCGCATGAAACTCAGAGAAGAGTTTCCAGAGTGAGGGCGTGGTCCGCAGGGTCAAAGGCTGTGGCAAGTGGAGGAGGAGGAGGAGGAGAAGGGACCCCGGGATTTAGGATTTGAGGAGAGCTGTTGGGTGGAGGGTGTGGGGGCAGAAGTCAGGCTGGTCCAGAGTGAGGAGGGAGTGGCAGCTGGGGAAACTGAGTCAGGGCATGGAGGCCACACACTTTGGAGAACCTTGAAGGAGAGGGGGAGCTGCTGGAGGGTGATGGGGTCCTATAGGGCTGTCGTGGGGGGGGGGCAGGTGTGACACAGCGGGGTGCTGGGGATGAGGGCGGCCGAGAGCATTGGTGAGACAAGTTTGTGAGAACGGTGCCCTCAGCAGCTGGCAGTTATGGAGCCCACGATGCCAGGCTCCAGGCTGGGCTCTCCCAGTCACAGCCTCATTCAAACCGCCATTGTCCTAGCGCAGTGGTCAGCAAACCGCGGCTCGCGAGCCACGTGCGGCTCTTTAGCCCCTTGAGTGTGGCTCTTCCACAAAATACCACGTGCGGGCATACAGTGCGATTGAAACTTCGTGGCCCATGCACAGAAGTCGGTTTTCGGAAAGGAGATAGACGAAACAAGTATACAGACGAGTGTGGATGGGAGAGTTGGAAGGGGTCGACCTCAGCGAACGTACCTCAATCAGATTGAGGACGTTTTTTAGCAAAGGCCAGCTTAGGAGCACCCTAACCAAGTTAATAACAATGTACCTACCTATATAGTTTAAGTTTAAAAAATTTGGCTCTCAAAAGAAATTTCAATCGTTGTACTGTTGATATTTGGGTCTGTGGACTAATGAGTTTGCCGACCATTGTCCTAGCATCACTCCCATTGCCCAGGGCAGGAAGCTGAGGCTCAGGGGGCGGAGCAACGAGGAAGAGCTGAGGTCAGGGGACAGGGACACACTTTGGAGGGTGGGGGGGGGTGAGTAAGGGCTCAGCTCAGTGCTGGGTGTCCCCAGAGCTGGGGACGTGGACGAGATGATGCAAAACCTTACAGATGTCCCTTCACCCCCAAACCTCAGGATCCCCACCTGGATGAAGGCGTCCAAGGGGGTCAGCGTGGGAGTGACTTAAATGATTTGCCCCGGGAGGCGGCCTCACAGGAAGATTTATTTTCTTCGTGCCTCAGTGTCCTCGTCTGGAAAATGGGGACAATAACAATAATGGGACCTATTTCACAGGGCCGTTGTATTCGATTATAATTTAACATATAATTTATTAGAATTATATACACTATATTATATTAACTTCTATGTATTTTTAGCATAATTATATTAAACTAGAGGCCCAGTGCACGACATTCGTGCACTGGGGTTGGGGGGAGGGTCCCTCAGCCTGTCCTGCGCCCTCTCGCAGTCTGAGACCCCTCGGGGAATGTCTGCCTGCCGGCTTAGGCCCCATTCCCCCGGGAGCGACAGCCTCAGGACAGGAATGCAGGGTCCTGGGGACCTGCTGTACCTCCTGAGTCCCAGCTGCTAGGCCACCAAACCCTGGGGGAGCTGGGCAGCAGGGATCAGCTTTTCTCTCCCTCCAGCCCCTGGATTCTTTTATTTTTCTTACAGATTTTTAAAAAATTTTTAAGGTTTTTTTTTTTTTTTACATTGGTTTGTTTGACTCAGAATTCAAACATATTAATTGAGTTGTCATGTCTTTTATTTTATTATTTTTTTGTTTGTCTTTTAAATATATTTTTATTGATTTCAGAGAGGAAGGAAGAGGGAGCGAGATAGAAACATCAATGATGAGAATCATTTGATTGGCTGCCTCCTGCACGCCCCCTACTGGGGATCCAGCCTTTAACCCAAGCATGTGCCCGGAATCGAACCCCAGGACCCTTCAGTCCGCAGGCCGACACTCTATCCGCTGAGCCAAACCGGCTAGGACTTTCTTAAAGTTTTTTTTAAAATTTGATTTTTAAAGAGAGAAATGCCCTAGCCAGTTTGGCTCAGTGGATAGAGCGTCGGCCTGCGGACTGAAGGGTCCCGGGTTCGATTCCGACCAAGGGCATATGCCTAGGTTGCAGGCTCGATCCCCAGTAGGGGGCGTGCAGGAGGCAGCCAACCAATGATTCTCTCTCATCTTGGATGTTTCTATCTTTCTCCCTCTCCCTTCCTCTCTGAAATCAATCAATCAATAAATATATATATAGAGAGAGAGAGGGAGAGAGAGAGAGAGAGAGAAGCATGGGTCAGCTGTCTCCTGCACGCCCCCTACTGGGGATGGAGCCTGCAACGGGGGCGTGTGCCCTGACCGGGAATCCAACTGGCAACCTTTTGGTTGAATGATGCCCAACCCACTGAGCCACACCGGCAGGGCCCCTGGGATTCTTTAATTCACTCTATTCATTGTGGACCTGCTCTGTACCTGGCGCTCTGCTGGGGACACTGCAGGGGCCCCCATGTCCCTGCACTCACCGGGATCACAGCACAGTGGGGGGCACACGCTGAGCAGGGGGCCAGAGATGGCGGCCAGGTTGGGACTCTGTAGCAAGACCCCAGGAGGAGGCTGATGGCACGGAACTGGGTGGGGGAGGCGAGTGTAAGAAGGGAATGGGAGCCGAGGGGTGCAGGGTGTGGGCAAATGGCGCAGCACCCGGGGGGGGGGTGGCAGGGGGAGCATAACACCCCCAGACTGAGGGACAAGCAGAGGGAGTGACTTCTCCAGGGAGTGAACCTGGAGAGGGGTCTGTCTGTAAGCCCTGGGAAGGGCTTCCTGTTAATATTTTTTAAAAAATATTTCTACTGACTTCAGAGAGGAAGGAAGAGGGAGAGAGACATAGAAACATCAATGATGAGAGAGAATCATCGATTGGCTGCCTCCTGCACGCCTCCCACTGGGGATCGAGCCCACAACCCGGGCATGTGCCCTTGGCCGGAATCAAACCTGGGACCCTTCAGTCCGCAGGCTGACGCTCTATCCACCGAGCCAAACCGGCCAGGGCGTTAATGTTTTTATTAAGAGACGTGAATAACAGGGATCCGAAGTAATTGTGGTTTAAATAAGACAACTCTCTCTCTCTTGTGTAACAGTCTGCAACTCTCTTTCATGAGGGCAATAAAAAACCCGGTTTCTCTGTCCTGTGGCTCTGACAGCCAGTCTGGCCCTGGTCTGGGAGTCCCAGACGGCTCACCTCCGGGCATCGTTCCAACCAGAGGATGGAGACGGGAGGAGAGGGCCCGGGTCCACCGTCCTCTGTGAGTTTATACCCAGGACTCCCCGGATCACGTCCTTCTGCATCTCAGTTACCGGACCTGCGTGGCTGCCAGAGGAGCTGGGGGGGGGAGGGGGTTGTATTCTAAGTCATCAGGCTAAAGTTCATCGAGGATTTGAAAGGGAACGGGGAAGATTGGATTTTGGAGGACAGTGAACAGCCTCCTGCGGAAGGTTTGAAGGAACACAGAGGCGATGCTCAGACACGCTCACCAATCAGATGAGAGGTACCAGCCGAATGCACTGCGGAAATTCAGGCCAAGGAGCCCCAGGGCCTTTGCATCACCAGCTCCTACATGAAGGGCCCCAGCTGGAGCCAGTCCTGATCCTCTGACCTTCCCCAAACTCTGAAACCCAGATTTCCTCGGCCTCCTCTTTGTTCCCCAAGTCCTTGGCCTGTTTCCTCCAAATAACCGGCAGCCTGAGACCCCTCCCTCCCCCCCAGCTTCCTACCCCTCACCCACCTTTCCAGACCCTCCAAGCTTCCTGTTTTGGCATCTGTTTCTACAGAACAAAAAATCACCCTAAAACTCAATGGCTTAAAATGACAAGTTGTTCTTCTCTCTCACTGGGGACCCAGGGACTGCAGTCACATGTGCCGGCTAAGTTATCTGGTGTCTGAGATGCCCCTCACCAGGCTGCGCCGGGGCCGGCTGTCAGCCGAGAGCTGCGGCTGCGGACGGGAGCCGTGTCTTCCTTTGCATTTTGTCTGCACAGGGACTCTCCCTCTGTCCCTGTGTCCTAGGCCGAGTAATACCCACCTGCGTGAACACAGCACACTTCGCTCACCCAGCCTCCTGTGAGGGACGCTGAGTCTGGGCTCTCCTGTTTGTTTCTCTCCTTCTTTGCCATGTCTCACATGCTCACAGTGTTTTAGGTTTGGAAGGTATATTAATGAGGGTTCTCCAGAGAAATAGGACCAATAGGATGTGTATTAGATAGATAGATAGATAGATAGATAGATAGATAGATGATAGATAGATAGATAGATAGATAGATAGATAGGGACTTATTCTTTTTTTAAAGGGAAGAATGATGATTTTTATTTTTTAAAATATATTTTATTGATTTTTTACAGAAAGGAAGGGAGAGGGATAGAGAGTTAGAAACATCGATGAGAGAGAAACATGGATCAGCTGCCTCCTGCACACCCCCCACTGGGGATGTGCCCGCAACCGAGGTACATGCCCTTGACCAGAACCGAACCTGGGACCCTTCAGTCCGCAGGCCGACGCTCTATCCACTGAGCCAAACCGGATAGGGCGGGACTTATTCTTTTAAACTGGTTCATGCAATTGTGGGGCTGGGGCTGGGGCTGGCAAGTCCAAATGCTGCAGGCGGGCCAGCAGGCTGACACTGATGCTGCAGCTCAAGTCCAAGTGCAGCCCAGAAGCAGGATTCTCCCTCAGGAGGCCCCAGTCTTTTCTCTTCAGACCTTCACCTGGTTGGGTGAGGCCCACCCACGTCCTGGAGGGTCGTCTGCCTCACCCATTGAAATGCCCATCTCCTCTGATCCGCAGCAACACCTGAATGCATGTGTGAGGGAACATGGGGCACCAAGTGGGCACGGACCATTCGCCCTCATGGGGGGGATCTTGTCTCCCCTCGTGCCGCTCTCTGCCCACCCGCCACACCCCTGCCCAGCCACCGTGTTGGGTTGGGCTCCACAGAAGCCAGCCCGAGGCCAGGATGGGGGGCTAGAGGTTTGTGTGGGAGGTGACTCCCCGAGACACCGGAGGGGAGGCGGGAGGAAGACACACGGGCCGCCCCCTGCGGGCAGAACCCGCTTCGGGTGCCCAGCCTGAGGGTGCGGAATTGGGGTGTTCAGCCACTAGCCCCTGGATGCTGATGGGGAGTCTGCTTCCAGGGGTTGACTCTCAGCACCCCCTCCCCTCAGCTAGAGAGCACACTGGGGGGGGGGAGTGGGCAGGGGGTTGCAGGTGCCTGTGTGGGAGCTGATGTTACACCCTAGGGGTCTGAATGGGACGTCCACAGCCCACAGGCCTCACTGCCTCTGT